TTTTTCTAAATTTTTTAAAATATTTATATATATTTTATATTTTTTTTGTATTTTTTTGAAAATGTTGTACAGTTTTCAAAAAGGCATGTGTCTCATCTTGCACCTTGCACCTTTGACTCATTTGGAGTTTTGTGTTTTTATGTGTCTCTCGCTTTTAAAACATTGAGTGAGGCATGCTCTATGGGGTACTCATGCAAATTCTAAATAGTTATGAGTCATATATCCAATTTATAATAGGCGTGCTGTTATCATTAGATTTAAAACSTACTATACATTGAATTGGGATATACTCCTCACATGAAGATGTTTATATCAAATTCTAACCATACATCAGGAACATATCCAATACTTGTATATTGTTATTTATAGGGAGATGTTGCTAATGCATGGTGATATGTATTGTAAAATGGGGGTGAGGAACACTCTATGAGGTTCATATTTGGATTTCACCATACAACCGTTGTATTCAACTAATTCAAATTTTTAATGTAAGTTTGTCTTACACCGCAACGTTGCATTAAATTGGTAACTTATATGAAATCCCAATAGTGATCTTTTACTTCTTAACATAAATGTAGTGTCAATCGCTTGTTTTTATTTAAGTTGCCTTATTGTAATGTCTTTTTTTGGTAAAAAAAGTCTTTGAACAATGTTTGCTCACGAATTGGCTAAGAAGGGTCTAGTAAAGTCTAGCAACTTTTTTTTTTGAAATTGTCATAGTTGGTTAAAGGTGTTAGTGAGCCAATACCTGAACAGACATTCTTAATTTGGGTTGTCTTCTTGTATCCCTTTGCTTAGCCTTTTTTTTCTAGTACATTGTTTGCTTACAAAAAAAATGTAGTGTCGAGTGATCAATGGTATGTTAAGTTGGTCCCCCTAAGAAGGGGTGAGCAAAGGCAAATGGGTAGGTTTTACTTGGAAACAAATGAAACCAACCTTAAATTGACTTTACATAATCTTTTATTAGGTAGSGTTTGGTTTAAATTCTTGGAATCAAGTCAATTAACTCCTACCCAAGCTAATTCCAAGGCCTAGGGTTTGATTGGCCTTAGTGGAACCAACCTTGGTTAGCATTGGTGAAATCGAACTTGCCTTGAAAAAAGATTTCTAAATCACTTTAGGACGTAGAGATTTGACTCATGGTTATGAGGACCATGGTGTCACTTGACCGTTTAAGTCACTTAAGTGTGTTGATCAATTTTTTTTCAATTTAACATTTGGTATAATAAATAATATAAAAGATATTTGCAAAATTTAAATTACAATGAAAAGTTTTGAACTATATATTAATATATTATGATAATATACATTTTAAATTACTCAATTTAATTAATAAAGGTAATAAAAGTTTTGAATTATTATTGTAAATCAAATTTTTAGTTCCATATTTTAGGGTAAAAAAGAAAAGAACAAGCTTCATTAATAGATCTTGGAACCAACCCTAAAATTATTACAACCAAAACTAACATTGGAACCAATTTTCATAGGGTAGGTTTTAGGTTATAACTTGGAATCAAACTAAATCAACCCATGCTCACCCGTATAAGTGGCCAACTACAATAATGTGTAGTTGTAGTGTTAAATAGATATTGTTTTTTGCATATTTTTGGACAAATATAGGTATAAAAGTTAGGATTTAGGCTATGTTTGGTGATTAAGTGGTTTGAGAAATAATAACTTATTACACAAGTGCTTATTTTAAGTATTTTTTTTGAAGCAAATTTATTCTAAGTACTTATTTTAACAACCATTTAATGTTTTTGGTGACCCATTTGCCAAATCACTTATTAGTATTTTAAACACTTATTGAGGTGGGGATGTTTGGTGAGCTACTTTACCTATAAGTGCTTATTTTAGCTCCTATTTCATCCACACATAAAGAATGATTTTCACATATTACATTATACAACAACAACAACAACAACAACAACAACAACAACAATAATGTTTATTATTCATATTAATAATAAAAAATAAAACAGAAATTCAGATTAATCAGAAAAAATGGAAAAACATCACAAATATGCAATGAGAAATTAAAAAAATAGGACAATATTTATTATTCATATTAATAATAAATAACTTGGATTAACAAATTATTCATATTAAAAATCAAGAAAAAAATTCAACAACCGTATATTTCAGTACATTATTAGCTTAATCTTCAACAAAAAAAAAACAATAAAAATACTAATTATTCATAAGAAGCACCACAACTATGCAATAAGAATTAAAAAAAAAAAGATAGCACCAATTATTCACATTCAAATTCCAAAGAAAATGAAGAAAAATTCGGAATATGCAAAATCATAACATAAAAAATTTAGTAATTACCTATTATTTGTGTAATACTCCACAAACAATTGCATCATTATTYGGTTAATATTACTGAAAAATAAAAAAAAATGATTTTCACTAAAATATACAAGAAGAAGGTAAAAAAAAAAAACCTATGAAACAACTAGAATAGTAGGACTAAGAAGCTTTACTTGTGGTCACCGACAAGTTTTCGGTGGGGTTTCTGACCAAAATTTTAGATCTGGGAAAATAATGCAAAGAAGAAAACTGATATTAAAAATACTTCAAAAAACATTGAGATGCCGACTTTAGATTGTAGCTAAACATTGGAGATTATAAAGCGACCCACCCACCGATTGATTTCAGGTCGTTAAAGTTGTTGCTGGCCGCCCTCTAACCTCTTGTTGTCACTACCCTGCTCAAAATGTGCAAGTGGAGAAGACAAGGGTTTTCTCCATTTGCATGGGTAGTTTGGGTATTACGAAAAACTTTTAGGGACTAGACTGTCCAAAATTTATAAGTACTTAAAAGCAGTGAAATCAAACAGGGCCTTAAGTTTGAGAGTGCTAATTTTTAAGTGCTTATTCAAATAAGTACTTATTTGGGTTGGGACCACATCAATAAGAACTTATTTACATTTGGGAAATGAGCCCGAATAAGCATTGTTTTGAAAGGTTTAAGCCTTGAGATCTTGAGGTGAGATGTATAGATTTTGCCTCAAGGCTTTTGATGTGAAGTTTAAGCCTTTGTCATGATGAGGCATAAGCCTCAACTCTCAAGACATGAGGCATATCTTGAAGCATAAAATGGCATAAACCTCAAGTTTTAATGATTATTTAGTGATTTAATACAAAAATTATATATTGTATGCATTTATATAAGGGGAAATTCTCGTTTAGTATCATGTACTTTGGGCCTWGTGCCATTTTGATCCCTGAACTTTAAAATGCGACAATTCAATATTCGAACTTTCAAAATGTGTCAATTCAGTACCTAACGTTTACCAACTGTTAAGTGGCATTTGAAAAAGACATAAATGCCCTTCGAGTGTCATCTAATTTCCTTTATCAACCATCCAAACATTGACAAAAAATTAGCAACCCCAAGTCCTTACTTCTTCTGTTCAAGAAAGTTGGGGTCATGTTTCAGTGGGCATTCTAGACCCCAAATTTATTGAATAAAAGAGGCAACGATTTGGGACTGTTAATTTTTTGTCAATGTTTGGATGGTTGATAATGAAAATTAAATGACACYCAAAGGGCATTTGTGTCTTTTTTTAAAGGCATTTAACGACTAATTAACAACTAATTAACGGTAGGTACTGGATTGACACGTTTTGAAAGTTCGGGTATTAAATTGTCACATTTTAAAGTTCAAGGGACCAAAGTGGCACTAGGCCCAAAGTATAGGGTATTAATTGGGCATTTTCCCTTTATATAATTCAAAATATATGGAAGAAACACTTCAATAATCATGAGGCAAAAAAAAAAAAAGAGTAAAAATGAAAAACCAATAGGCCAAATCAAGTTCTATCTGTTTCTCCTAGTGTTTTAGGAGAGTTCAATACCAAAAGGGCTAGTCAAGTTTTTAGTTTCTCTTGAACAAATCAAGTCAGTTTTATTTCCTTATTATTCTAAATCTAACATCATAAGTTCGATATTTTTCTCATTTTTCCTAATGTATTTATTTTCTTTTTATTGTCTTTTTTGCCATATCAAATTAACTAAATCGTTTCTTTTCTTTTAAACTATTGGATGACCATAAATCTAGTATAATTATGTGGATGATTCTTTATATGTTTCCTTTATTCTAAATTTGTCATTTTGATAATTTGTATTTTGAAACACCTAATGTAAAATGCTTATAATTGCTAGCTCATTAGTTATTATTTTATTTACTACTTAAATGTTGGTACTTATTGTTTATAAATTTGTATTTTATTACATGCTTAATTACTAGTTAATTAAAGTTTATAAATTGGTATTTTATGGATATTTGTACACTCTACTATTCWAACTTGGTATATTATATGTTATTTTTATCAATTTATAAACTTTAATTAACCATTAATTAAGCACGCGCATTGCACACTTTTTTTCATATTAATTACTTAAATTTTGGATATATCATAATTAAGATAAAAATTGAAAATTAACAAAATTAACAATATGACTAAAAATAAACTCAAATGCTTGTAATAAATGTGCACGTGCATTGCATGTGGAAATTTTAAATTGAACCGAACCGATGAAACCGAACAAAAGATTCCGATTAATCAAATCAATCGGTTTGGTATTTTTAGAAAATCAAAGGTACCGATTCGGTTTTGTTTAACCAATATAGAAAACTGGCGGTTAACTGAACCAACCGGTATACATATATTTCTATATATTTTGTGTATATTATATATACTTTTTATAGTTTTTGTGTATTATAAATTAATAAATATGTAAAATATATATATATTTATAACATATAATATGTATTTATTATTTAAAATATAATATTATATATATATTTCGAGTTTTTTATTATATATTTATATACTTTTTATAATATATCACAAAACATCCGAATGAACCGATGATTAACCGATTGACTTCGATTCCATTTCAATCACTAATTTTCCAAAAATCGATAATACCGATTTAAATTAACCGAGCACCCCTTAATCCCTTATTTCACAAATAAGCACTCGCTAGTTGGGTTGGACCCAAACCAAAGTCCACTGGTGCAACGCAAATTTGTTTCTCGGTTGCTCCCTTACATACAGTCACACAGAGCTATCAGGGGAGACACCAAGGAAGAGGTGAGGAGCGAGATAGATAGACAGAGCTTAATGGACTCAACTGGTCTAAGAACCCTAAATTTCATTTCTCCTCTCTATTTCCGTTCCAGAGCTTCGTTCTTTCGCCCATTTTGGCTTGCAGAAGTCAAAAAGGCGCGTTACCTTCCTCTTTCGTCCCCTTCTCGACGGCTCACCCCGACCCCGCATTGCTGCTCATGTAATCTCTCTCTCTCTCTCATTCTCTCTCCATCTCTGTCTGGTACTTTGGTTGTGAAATTTGAATCATTTTGTTTAAGTTCTATTAGGTTCTTATATTAAAAGTGTTCTTACATAGTTTTTTTTTACTTAAATTTTTTAAGCAGTTGAAAGCAGCGAGTTGAATTCCCTGCCTCGCGGCGCTGGCCAGGCGGTTAATGAAATCTCAAGGGATAAACTTCTGCAAGTAGTATTAGTTTCTCCTCAGGTATTTTTACCTCACTGTATTATATTTGTTCAACTTTCTTCAAGCAAAAACAGAAAAAACTTGCTTTTTGACTCGTAATTCTATTTCCCATTGGATTGCCAGTTCGGATCAGGTAGGTACAACTTTGTAAGCAAGTTAAATGAGCACTTAGAAAATTTTCGCTTAAAATACCTCCAGCTTACCCTTGAAAAAGATTAATACCCACTTTTGACAGTTGTCTTGGATTGCCCGAGTCACGGTTTTGAGCTTTGAGTATCCTTTGTGATACTACCAGTACCAATGCACTTTCTATTGATTAAATGAGCTTATTTGATGGTTTTTGGAGCAACTCTTTTGGTGCCTTTCTTACTTATATATCTTGAAAAATTGAACGACTAAAAGCTACTTGTTGGTATTCCAATACGAGCATCTCCACTGCAAGGGCTATTCTATGTAAAGCTCTTCTTGAACAATCACTTTCCTTGAGTATTCAGCAACCGTAGATTCATAATGACCAAGTAGTGATCAGATAGATGGTCTTACATGCCCTTGTTGAGTAATGGAATAATGACTACCTTCTATCCTGGTATAAAGCCCGTGTTGAGGAATGGAACAATGGCTACCTTCTAGCCTGGTGAAAGGCCCTTGCAGGAACTTCACCATTTTCTTCACTTTTTCTGTCCATCCTAATGAGTGAACCCTTTTATACCTCTAAGCATAGAAATAGACATGGTTAAGAAACATTCAAGTGTTCTGCATTAGGTAACCTGCAAGAGGGGGGCTTGGGGGAGGAGGGAGGGAGAATAGGAGAAGCACCTGAATTTTTCACCCTTCTCTTTCTTCATTTCAATTGATACATCATGCAAAGAATCATGAATTATGAAATTGATCTACTAAGCATTGTTAATATTTTAATCAAGTGAGGTCGAAGAAATGGTTTAGGTTTCTAGACATTTATTTGCTAAGATGCCCAGATGGTAGACACAGGTACAAATATGGAGAATGTATATACAACTCTTCATTTCTTAAAATCCATGGCATGGATATGGATCTATTCTATATGCTAATATCAGACTTCTGTATTTAGTTTTTTAAGTGACTTAAAGTTTTTAACACTTACATTCTATAACTTGCAGTAATTTTATTGAGATTTGTTACTCCATGTATTTTCTTTGGCAAACTAAATATACTGGTTGTAAAGAATTAAGTAAGATAATAAAACAGTAAGCTTATACTGTACAATCACAAACATAATATCGAGTGTAGTTTTATATTTATCGACATCAGAAAGCATAGTAGGATTTCCAGGCAATAGTGCTTTTTTTTTTTCTTTTTTTTCTTCTTCTTTGGCTTCATGGGGCTACACAACGGGGGGTAGCGAAACCCCCATACCAATAACCCCTGCAAACCTGGTGGGAGCGGGATTTGATCCCAAGTCTCCTCTACAACTAGCAAGAGCACCTACCAACTGAGCCACCATCAGTTGGTTAAGTTAAGAAGATATTGACTTATTGAGTGGCTCCAAGAGTCACCATGCTTTATTTAACAGTTGCTTATGAAGCTAATGTCATAAGAAAGGCTGGAGGTTAGACCAGGGCCAGGGGATAAGAAGGAAGAGGGAGGTCAAGCTGGTGAGAGTAGCCTTACTTTGTCTCAACAAGCTGACAAGGAGGGGGAGGGAGAAAGTGGAGATTAAGACCTTGGTGGACAGGGAGGTTAGAATTGGCAAGAGTTTAGGACTATTCTTTTGGGGAGGCGAAGAGTTCGCTAGAAGAGCTTTTGAAAAAATTGAATTGAGTAAAGGGAAGAGAAATTGAAGAAGATGATGTGACGGAAAGAAGAAAAAGTTTGGGATGAGGAAGATGACGGGCAGGATGAGTCGTTTGATGCTGAAGACTAGCCAATGTATGAAGAGGGGGGGGGGTGTTCCCAGTCTTTCTTTTTATTAGTTTTGCGTCTTTGAAAGCCTTGCTGTATGAGGGGGCGGGGGAGGGGGGTCTCAGTACTTCTTTTTGTTAGTTTTGTTCATTGTAAGTCTTGCTGTTGTTGGTAGTGGGTTCGGGTGTTATCTTAACACCCTTGTCAGTGCTGTAATCTGCCTTTTATTTTATCAATAAAATTTTTCTTTTATTCTTCAAAAAAATGTCGTAAGGTAACATTTTCAACTGCCTTGTCTAATTCTGCTTTTAGTGTTTTTTGTACATTCACAGTTCCTGTCCCATGGATTAGAGGTTAAACAATTGTCACAAGAGCATTGCCGATTCATGTTTATTTATTGGGACTGAAAAATCTCTAAGTCAGCAAGGCATTTATTGCCATCAATTTTATTAGTCTCAATTTGAACTCTATCCATTCGTTAAAAACTTAAGATATTCATGCCAGTTTTGATGTTATTATGGATTAATCCAGGGGAGCATCATTTTTTTCTCCCGATTGTCCTCTGGGCACTCACCCTCAAGATTAGAGATGTTATTTGGATTTTGGACTATGGTACTCTTACTAATGCCAAATGGACAAGCCTCCTTTTCTTATACCCAAATAGCCCCTGTTTTAATATCTATCCAGCTTCTCGTACCTGCTTTTTCTTGTTTTGTATCTTTATTAGAAGCAATAGAAGCCAGACCCTTGGATTTAGCATCAGAAAATTCTAGTTTGTTACATTTACACTAAAATATTCAATGACAAGGTTCCAAAGAACATGATAAACTAAACATGGAGAAACAAACAAGGACTGCAATTCAGTGAAATGATGGATTGTTCCAGGTTTGGTCTGAAAACCATGGAAGCCTCTGACCAATGGGCAACCTACAATCACTGTTCTTTTTGATTTGCAAATAAAAGATAATATAAATTGATGAAATATGGTCCAACTAAGTCTTAATCTTTTGATGCTTGCTTAATTCACAAAGATATATGCTTTGCAATTACAGATTTCAACTGAATAACTTTAGTTCTTACATTGGTTTGCATGATTACCATATAACAATTGAAGTGCATTTACTGTATATTCCATTTCCCTGATTTATTTTTTCTCTTGATTTTTTAACAGAACTTTTAGCTATTAGCAAATGAGAAAAACCATGTAATTTCAGTGTTTCCTGTTGGGTTGCAGGCAACCTGGAACATGYCATAGCTTGGTCTGAGATTTCTCTTGTTCTTGACAGATTCCTGGAAACACAGGATGCATTGCTAGAACATGTGCAGCTTCAGCTGTTGGGCTGCACCTTGTTGGGGTAAGTATAAATAATAATCAGACAATCTCAAAATCAATCTTCCCGGACCTACAGTATCTATAAGATGGTCATCTACTGCAACCCTGTAGTTTTCTTATTTCTATTATTGACTTCTCTGTGTCTTGATGACTAATCTTCTGTTCTTTTTGATAGCCATTAGGATTTCAGGTGGATGATACAAAGCTAAAGCGTGCTGGATTGGATTACTGGCCGTATCCTATATTCCTATTTGATTCTTATATTTATTATGTAGCTGCAAATGGTATCTGTTTATCTGAACTAGATTTTGGACATTTACTAAGAATCATATATAATTTACTTGTAAATCATTTTATTCATGAAATATAATATCAAAAACATTTCTAGGTCATTTTATTAGTAATATATAATGTTCTGATTTTTTTTAGTTTAATTTATTAATGGTATGCCATATCTGAATCCAACAGAGATTCGATTTGAATCTAGGTATATCTGATTTGATCTTATCTGCTTGCAGGCCCAGTCTATTATCATTACATTTCAAGCATGAAATATTCTTGGTGTTACAATTAAGTTTCTGAAATTTCAATACAAGCGCTTTGAAGTTCTAATAAAATGGTTCAGTTGCAGAATTTACTACTTATCCCAATTTTGTGTTAATACAGTAGTCTTCGGAAGTTTTGAAGTTACTGTTTCTATGACCTTTATCTTTGACCATGTTTGGATACATTTCAAGTTGCTTTATTTTGCCAACAATTAACGAAATAAATTAGATATGTAGTTGTCAAAGTTCATGCCTCATGGGCAGAATTCAGAGAATATTTCAGGCAACAGGTCTGTCTGTCTCTCTCTCTCTCTCTGCATCCATTCCCTACAACTATATGTTTTCTATGTTTTTCAAATGCAGGTTGGGGAAAAGAGGTTATTGGCATTTACCAAGAGGGGAACGGCAATCCATTCTGTAAGTTCTTTACAAGTTCAGTCAGTCTCACTGTTCGAGGTTTTTCATCCTTCTTTGAGACTTGAAACATTTGTAAAATGCTGCCAATAGTGCGTGAAACACTACCCAGAACCATATTGTTTTGTGGTCATTTGGGTCACGGGAATAGGGGTCTGGAATTGGAATAAGAATGGGTCATTCCGATTCCAACTGTTTGATTGGGTGGGATTCGAAATCCCATTCCCATTCGGCATTCCCCCATTTGAGCGAATTGCCATTCCCTCCCCCTCGGGAATGAAATCCCATTTCAGCTGATTTCTTTTCCAATTCCGATTCCAACATATTTTGATTTAGATTTAGATTCCGATTTCAACTACAAACCAAACAGATCCATAGTCTTGGGATATCGCAGTATAGGACACTGAAATGCTTTTTATTGTTGCAGGGATTCTCATACAAACGAGGTGATTGGCTCGTATTTGGTTCGGAAACTAGTGGGCTACCATCAGAAGTCTTGCTCGACTGCAAKAGTGAAGCTTTAGGTGGTGGGACCATTCGGATTCCCATGGTGGAAACTTATGTTAGATGTCTAAATCTCTCTGTGAGCGTCGGAATTGCTTTATATGAAGCTGCTAGACAGCTAAACTACGAGCAGCTTCAATTCTCAACAGAGACTTGTATTGATAGTGAAAAATCATTTATTACTGAAGATATTTTTGCTTAATTTAACTGCATTGACATTCTTTACCAAGAAAAAAAAAAGAACTTGGTGGTCACTGATTTAAATTTTTTACTTTCACCCACAAGTGAATTTTCAAATTTGTATTGTACTACACAAAATGTGGCCCACGGCCCACTAATTAACCAACTGCAAGAGTGTCATAATGTATGTCTTTTAAAGTAACTGCCAGTGGGCCTAAACAGTTGGATGATGGAGATGATGTGAGGTCAGAAGTTAAACTTGAATGCCGAGGCATCCGTCCGAGCCCTTCTCTTTATTTATCTTGGAACTGATGGGAAACGAGTTTAGATTGGCGCCCCACTCGCGTTTCAGATGTACATCTCACCGTGCATTGAGCACATTATCGTACCTGTTTATGGTGACATCTTACCGTGCATTGGAAATATTTTCCATATTTGTATTGAGAGAAATGTTCCTAATTTACAGTTGGGATGTGCTATAACGTGTATTCTGTGAGACACCTATGCAAATTGATGGCAATAGGCGAAAATGACATTTACTCAACCAAAAACAAAACAGCTGAGGAGAGGAATCCAATCAAGGGTTCGACCCAACAAAAAACATCCCCATCAAAAGATTTAGCCCCATATTTTTATATGCAAACAAGGTATTGGAGAAGTTTTTAATAATATCCAAAATAACATCAAGTTTATGTTGACACATCCATACGCATTGTTGATCTTTTATGGGTATCGGCCTGTATCGGTACTGTTTTTTTAATTTTTAATTTTTTGAATCTGATTCAGAGGAACCAGTTTAAAGTCGGTCTACCTCCTAAACCATATGTTGACCTGAAACATCTCCTATGGAGGCRTATATGTATCGGCTGATACGGCCCAATATGTATCGAAATTTTAAACCTTGAAAACAATAACTAAAATTTTCCACCCCAACACTCAAATCATTAAAAGTTCCCTCCTGCGGCTATAATGAAAGAATTTTCATTATTAACAGAATAAATGCCAAAGAAAAAATTATAACTACCCATTCAGCATTGGGGAAATTCGAGATGGGCTCACCACATAGCGCGCCCCCACAGTCCGTCCCTCCCTTGCATTGGATTTGGGAACATCTCCCCATGGAGTTTGAATGGGCTCCCCACAGAGTGTGCCCCACTCATGGGCTGTAGTGGGGTGTTCTCTGTGGAGAGCCCATTTGAATCCCTCTTGACAAGTAAGGGATGTTCCCAAATCCCAAGGGGGATAGGCCGTAAGGTGCGTTGTGTGGGGAGCCCATCCAAGCTCAGCATTGGGATCATTCCACTACCATCTAATAATTTTAGGATTAATTATTTAAATGTATCCTGTGCTTTCAAAAACTACTAACATATAACTTTTGAAGTGGCCTCTTCTGACACAAATAGGTCCTTTATTAATAGGATAAATTGCAGATTAGTCTTATTTTGGCATCAGGATTTCAAAATATGTCATTACTTTACTTAAAAGCTGTGTTTGGAAATGATGCAAATGGAGTGTAAATCTCGGTTCAGGGTTAAATTTGTACTCTGATTCATTTTTGTTTGTATTTGGCAACATTATATTTATGCATTGACAAATAACAGACCAATGTATATTTACATTGATAATAAGATGTAAAAGTACATCAATAAAAAAGAAGTACATTTATATTCAAGTGGGCTTTTGATAAAAAGAGCATATGCTTTATTGAAATTCATGTTTGCATCCATTACAACTAAAAGTCTGTTTGATAAGAAAGTAAATTTGTCAGTGCAAAACTAACCCAACTTTGCAATTTATATAAACCGTTTTACACTACATATTTGCATTCACACTTATTTGCATCGCTTTCAAATGCAGCCTAAACTTCTAAAAACTGCTAATTTAGTGCCTATCCTTAGCGATCCATCAGTTATTTATATCACAATACCACATGTTCTACTTAATTTTTTTGAAAATGTCAAAACTACCCTTTTTAATAATTTTAAGATCATTTTACCCTTTTCTTCAAAACCTCAAAAGTTGGTTTTTTTTTTTTTCTTGTGAGAGTTGGATGGAGAGGAAAAGAATATCGTAGGTTACATGTTTTGGATGAATTTTGGCTATCACATGCCCATAGCAGTGTTGGAGGAAATGATGTTTTACCCAATGAGCATTTGCAGTCCTCTACATAACATCACATGGATGAGCGTCTACATAACACCACCCTAACRCCCTTCCTCTTCCCCCCATTCATGTTGTTGTTACCGATCAACTATCTCTTGCAACATTTTTTTTTTCCTGACTATGACATCAAGGTTTTAAAAACCGACCCGGAAATGGAATCGTTCTGGCTACTGGTTTTCGAGTTAGTGGTTTGATCATCTGGGTCAAATGGTTTAAATATTTTAATTGGTGATATGTCATCTTACCCATTAGATTGGAATATTAGGGTAAGATGTATATAAATACGAGAGAAAAAAGGTTTGACTGTTTGAGAATGAGAGAGATGTGAGAAGCTGCTGATGGCTGAGAGAGTTTAGAAGAGAGAGAGAAGATAGAGAGAGAGAAGAGAGAAGAGAAGGAGATCACTTGTAGGCTACAGTGGCGATGACGACAGTGACTTACAACGGCAATAGCAAACTATAGCGGCGGCGATGAAAGTAGATTTGAGATTTCTCTGTCTTAGATCTCTCTCTCTCTCAGATCTGTCATCTAGACTCTAGCCTGCTCTACCAAACCTCTCTCACTGTCTCACACATCCCTCAACTGATCTCTCTCTCTCTCTCTCTCTAGTAGATCTCAGATATGAGAGATCTTATCTTTTCATTCTTGCTCTAACTTAATAAACTACAAACCATTCTCCAGGTTGAACGGTTCAACGGTCAAACCGTCTGGGTCAACGATTCATTGACTAATTCAACGGTTTTTGACCAAAGGCTGGGTTTGGGGTAAAACGGAACCAATCACCTGAACGGTTTCCGATCTGAATGGTTTGATCATCTGGGTCAATGATGGTTTAAAAACATTGTGTGAGATTGTAAAGAGATGAGGGGAAATAATAATAAGGGGGACTTTGCATTGGGAGAAGAGTTATGATGAGATGAATTTATTATAGTTGGTTGATAAAGAAAATCAGATGACACTTGAAGGGTATTTGTGTCCTTTTACATTTTACTCAAGGTTCAAAGTATCGTTACGTATCAGCCCATATTGACCGATACTTATCGTTCTGGGACCCTTCTGGTATGCCCCTACAGTGGGTATATTGGGGGTCTGACCGGTTCAGGGGATGGAGGGGTCCTAGATTGGCTCCCCTGAGCTAGTTTTGAAAAAAAATATAAAAAAGGTAAAAAAACGAGTATCGAAACACTCGATACGTCCCTACCAGCATATCAGGCGTATCAATATTTTGAACCTTGATTCTACTTAACATCTTTTGGGGAGTTTCGGTACAACAATGATAAGTTTTGAAATTTGGGTATTAAAGTGAGACTAGCCCCAAATTCAAGGTATTAATCTGCAATATATTGTTATTAGAGAAGTATATATTTGCTTTGCATTTATTGATGGGGTATTTTTGAGATAAACGTTTATTTGAAAAACACTGCTTTAAACATTTATTTCTTTTATTGTTTAGTTGGATATTTTATGGGAACCCAAATTTCCTACACACTTTCTCTACCATACCCTGCCCATATTACATTGAAACCACACATCTCACAAAACAAGATGACATATGTGGCTGCAATTCAAGGCGGGTGGAGAGTGGGTAGAGTAGTAGGCAGGAAATCCGGCTTTTTTTTCATGGGCGTTTCAAGTAACACTTAAGTTCTGGTTTATGAGTTTCCTGATATTAAAGTTATGTTGCAACTGCCCCAAGCCAAGGATGAGTGCCCGACCAATATTGTCTCTAGACCACCGGGTGGCTGTAGTATAATGCAGAAATAGAATTAGAAAGCGAAAGTGGTGGTGAATGTGACGGTGTAATTCTTGCCCAGATCTCATCTTATCTTCATTATCTCCATCCTTACCCCAACAACCCATCAATCCCACTATTTGTTTCACAGGAAAGAGAATCTCTTCTGTCAAGAACACGATGTCTCTAAAATGGAGAGAGAGAGAGAGAGAGGAGGAAACAAATCTCTGAGAAAAACGTAGAAGGAGAGGGTGTGACTTTTTTTTTTTTTGAAATTGAAATTTAAATAACTYTAAGGGTATAGATCACAGGGAATATAATATTTAAGTAATTAACCCATAATTATAATTTTACTGAGCTCTTGAAGCGAGACAAAATAATAATATTACTGGGCTCCATGATCATCCATCAAGGTTGCTTGCAGCTTGCAACAGATAAAAGGAAAAAATTAGAGAACTTCAGAAAAACGAGAGAAGGGGGGAAAGATACAAAATACAGAGAACGCGGGAGTACATGCAAGAGAGTCGGAGTATAATAAACCATAGCCTTCCTCAGTTAGAAAACATGAACCAGGATCCAACCTAAACTAATAACAGCGCCCATCCATGTCTCTTGAGCCAATAAGTTAGCTTGATGTTGGGGGAGAGAGAGATTGAGAGAGCAACAGTGACTCAACTCAGTGAGATCCTATGCGATCAAGACTTTCGGAAACAGTTCTCATCCTCGGCCGCATCTCTTGGTCTAGCTCTGTGCAGTTGAGCGCTATGTGGAATGCCGCAAGCACCTGTTTCTTTGCATGGACCTCGTGCAGCAGCGCCTTGTCTATTATCTCCGACAGCGGTCGCTCATCTCGAAACACCTTCCTCACCAAGCTCTCCAGCCCCTTCCCATCATTCTCAGGCCCTGCGTCCGGCAGTCGCCCCGTCAGGATCTCCATGAGCACAATGCCGAAGGAGTAGACGTCGCACTTCTGGGTCAGCTTGCTCCCAGGGACTCGCGCCTCTGGTGCCATGTAAGCCAACGAGGGCGGACCCCTGGACCCCAACCCTCCTACCACAAGCTGGGCTGATGTCGAGTTTTGCTTCTTGGACAATTGATCCATCGTCGAACACCTGTTGTCGGTTTCCGGGACGAGACGGGTGAGGCCAAAACCAGAGATATATGGGTTGAGATCTTCGTCCAGAAGGATCTTCGATGTTTTGATGCTGCCATGGACGTACTTGCGTGGGCTGCATTCGTGAATATACACTAGACCCCTTGCAGCTCCTTGCACGATCTTCAGCCGCGCTGCCCATGATAATGGAAGTGTGGAACTCGAAGGTCCACCTGCATCAAATTCCAATCAAATTAGAAAGAAAAAAAAAAGGGAATTCTAGCTTTCTGCAACACTGCAACTGCAGCTCAGTTTCCATTTTCAAACCAGCTAGCCTGGCCCGGATTGAAGCAGGCCACCATGGACCATGGTCAATCAAAATTTGCAAAACAGAATAACTTTTGAGAGTGGCAGTTCAGTTCAGTCCAACTGAGCCGCATCTAATTCAAAATTTCTGTACTCGTTTGTTCAAATGTCATCTGGAGTTGGACCCTGAAACCAGTAGGCCACAGACTAGAATCTCTAATGTGGTAAGGAATTGAAGCAAAACAGGACCAGAACTGATCGATGARGACAAGAGTAAAAACTCTGCAAGGTTTCTGCAGTTCTCGGACCCGGATCACGAGCAGAGCATTTCCACTATTTAGTTGCATGTGAACTCGACACAGATTCTAGAGCCAAACGCCTCCAGAGGCAGGAATAGATTAAGGACAAAAAGCACTACGTAGTCTAAAGAGTCACCCGGGCCCCACTTTGATCCAATAACCTGGGCCATTAAATATTGACCGTTTGATTTGAGGACCAAAATAGTTTGACTGTTTGAGTGGAGTAGGGAAAGCAAGTTACCGTGCAACGCGGAGTACAGGCTGCCGTTGGGGATGAAATCAGAGATGAGAAGCTTATCATCCATCGCGTAGTAGTAAGCTCTCAGCCGTACGATGTTTGGGTGACGGACCTTTCCGATCGCTTCCACCTCCGATTCGAACTCCTTCAACCGCCAGTCACCGCTGCACTCGCTTAGCCGCCTCACTGCAACCTTCACCGTCGCTGCGCCGGACCCTCCACCACCACCACCGACGACCACCTTGTACACAATGCCACTCCGGCTCTTGCCCACCAAATAAGCGGATGCCCTCAACAAATCCTCTAATTCCAACCCGAAACCCTCGTCCAGTACCGAAAACTTGCCCTTCTGCTCATCGTCGTCGTCCTCTCTGTCCAAATTCTCTTTCCCCATTTTGACATCTCCGGACTTGCATTTTTTCCGGAAGAGCCACGCCGAAACCGAAACGGCTCCAACTACGAACGTGACGCCAGAGATTATCGGAACAGCAAACGAGCTCCCACTTCGCGCCTTCGCGTTCTGCTCGGGATTCACGCCATTGGGGATAGCAGGGTTACCGTCCTTGGGGTTTACAGGGTATATGCCATTGGTAGGGCTTCTAGGATTTCCAGCCTCTGGGCATGGAGTTCGTAGCGGGAATCCGCAGAGACTGGGATTTCCGGTGAAAGCTGTTGGACCTTGATTTAAGAGAGATCCGATCTGTGGTACTTTTCCGGTTAGATTGTTGTGCCGGAGATCCAAGCTCACGGACACCGGAAACTTCCCGAACGACGCAGGAACTTGGCCGGTGAACTGGTTGTAGGAGAGATTTAGGGTTCCGGTGAGCTGATGAAGCTCGCCGAGACCATCCGGGAGGGACCCATTCAGGAGATTCGAAGAAAGATCCAAATGAATGAGGGACTTGAGGGAGTTGATTTCTTCCGCGATGGGACCAGTGAGGGAGTTGTGAGAGAGGTCGAGGGAGATGAGGGCTGTAGCGTTGAAGAGTCTAGAAGGGATGGGCTTGGAGAAGTTGTTATGGGCGAGCGAGAGAATGCGAAGGTGGACGAGCGCGCCGAGCTCCGAAGGAATGTAACCAGTGAAACCCTTGTTGGGGAGGTAGACTTCGGTCACTCGGCCATGGTTGCAGGCGATACCAAACCAGTTGCACGGGTTGGAGTCAGATTCATACCAGGTACGAAGAGCATGAGTTGGGTCTGTTGAAATAGCTGCTTTGAGTGCCAGAAGCGAGAGACCATCTGAGTTTAAAGAAGAAACCAGAGAAGAGGAAAGCAAAAAAACAAGGAAGACCAATGCAACCGGAAACGACTCCATTTTTCGCTGCAGCTCTGTCAACGAGCTCGCACTCTGCTCATCTATGATTGCTATATTGTTATCCTCGCTGCAACGAGGAGTTGCAGGAGAGAGAGAGAGAGAGGGGGGGGGGGGAAGGGGAGAAGAAGGGCTTTGGGCTCTGGGCTCCGAACCTTGGTGATTCTTTTCGAGGTGGCGGAGGGGTAAGAATGGATATAATTTTGAAAATGTGACAAAATTGACCTCCGACAGTATGTTCCTGAATTAAAAGAGATCATTATTAGGGTGGAGAAAATTGACAAAATATGAAATTGATAGGGATATTTTCGTAATTGAATTTCAAAATTATACCTGGTTCAGCAGCTCATGTTCCCCAGACAAAAGCCTGTCAGAAAGACAATGAGAAAGGACGAGGGGTGGTGAGTGGTGACGCCGCTTTTACAGTTTCCAGTTTTCCACTAAGAGAGAAAGAGGGGTAATTATGTCAATTCAGTAAAAAGGATTAGCGATTCAAATTGGGGGGAACGACAACCGGACAGCCGCGAAACGAGACGCCTAAACAAATTAAATGCTTTGGGTAATAATCTGTCGTTGTGTGGATCCCTGAAAACGACAATATAATAGAGGGTATGCATCGATGCGTTTTGCTTTAATAAAATCGGTAATTAGAATCGTTAAATGCCCACAAGTGATGAGGGGTGATTTTGGCCCTCCGGTGATTGGCACCATAGAACTATAAGACGATATCTCAGCACAACGTAAGCGGACTTTGGGATCACTTTGGACCATGGTTTTCAAAACCGGATCGGACTGGATCGGACGGTTGGATCGAAAAAACCGGGAATGGTTAGGTCCGTTTTCCCCCAAACCGGATTTTTGCCAAAAAATATTGATTTGGTCAGTAAATTGTTGACCCAGGTGGTTTAATCATTTGAACCGTTCAATCGTTTTGACTATTTTTTATTTTATTTTTATTTTTTGTCAGAATGGGCTAACCGTTTGACCCAGGAACCGAACCCCTGACCGGTTTGTTGTCCGAGTCAGTTTTAAAAACCTTGCTTTAGACACTCCACACTAGTTGCGACCTCCTTGGCCCCACCTCAATAGGCCGACATACAAACAGATCGAAAGATATCAGGTCGATGTAAGAGGCGACTTGCCTCCCCCGACCTAGTCAAGATTCAATTAGTGATCTACATGGGGCAATGACCTCCTCCTGTAGCGAGTTATCTCCTTCGACTCCCCCAGGATCATGACAACACGTTGATGGAGCTGATTACCGCCCTGCCCGCTTCGGACGCAACTGGATAAGCACCACCAACTTACGCAGAGTACGTCTTTGAGCAAGAAACCACCTCCGAATCAGACGAGTCAATGATCTTGAACGCACTTCGTGGAACTCACAACTGTTAGCCTATATAAAAGCGTCCCCTTCCTCAGAAAAAAAAATATGCACGATTTAGCTCTCAAAAAACCTACTAGCTTTTTTAACTGTCAAATTAAAGAATTCTTCGCTGACTTAAGCCTCAAAGTGCCTATTCCGGGTAAAGCAACTAGACACTCTAATATTGTCATTTTGCAATTCAACTAGGCAACCTACTCAATTCGATGTCCAAGCTATTTGCTATCAAGGAGCACTAGATTTTATATCATCATCAAAGGTTGTTGATTATACTCAAGAGCATAGATTGAAAACACCCTAATCTCAAAACATCCTTGATAAACAGCAGCTAAGATTCGTAAGGTAGCATTTGGCAGTGCTTCTGTTTTAACCGTTGTCGTTATCCAAAAAACAGCAACTCGATATTGTTTGTGGTGTGACGTTTTGATAATGGTTTGATCTATGATGAACCTGAATGAGCTTTGTCTTTCATCAATCAAAACCAACCCATGTGAATTTTGGTGAATTTCATGTCAAAGTCGATTATTCTCACAGCATGGATTGGAGAACACCCTAATTCCATAACATCCTTGAGGAATAGTGATAAGATTGGTAACATAGTGTTTGGCAGGGCTTCTGTTTTAACCAGTGTCGTTATCCAAATAAACAACTCTGATATCTGATAAATGGGTAAATGTATGATGCCGAAAGGATATGGTTCCTGAAAGCATTTCCTTTGACCAATCAAAGCCCACGTGAATTTTAGTGAATCGCAAGTCAAAGTTAGATTATACTCAGAACATCCTTTGAAAAACACCCTAATTCTCAAATATCTTTGAAAAACGCAGATAATATTATTAAGGTAGTAATTTACAAGCTTTTGTTTTATATGGTGTTTAGTATGACTTTCATTWATTTGATAAATGATATCATATTATTATTAAATCARTATTTATTCCATCAGGAGGTCTTGATTTATATGTACATTAATCATTGGGGGAATATTTATTTTAAGGTTTCCCCCAATGGTTAGGCATTTATTTACTGTTCCATCACATTTGTTAATGTGACACCTAATTGTCAATAAATAGTTTATCAAATACTTTTTCTTGGTTTTGAAGCTATACCAAATACATAATTAATCATTGTTGTTATCTCAAAAATAACACCCCCATATTGATTGTTTTGTGACTTATGATAATGGGTAAATCTATGATAGAGATATTCCCAATGCACAGTAGTAAAAGGTTGTGTGAAAGGTGTGAGCATTGAAGCCAGTCTTGTGAAAAGGGTATTGATGAGGGGTGATTTGACCCAACTTGTTCATGAGATGACACATGGATGTGACTTGCCGATTGGATGATGATTTGGCACCTTGTGCCACCTCAACAAACCAGGAAACGCTCGGGCTCCTCGGCAAGATAGAGGACCGAGCAGCTCGTGGTAGCCCAACTTACTGAGGTGACACATATCAAATTTCTAGAAGCAAGCCAACTGTCTCTGAGCTCTTCGGGATCATGTTGCACGATTATAGGTCTTATTCTCATTCTGCCTGGATTGGAGGGACACGATAAGCCTTATCGGCTAAACACGATATCCACCTCTTGGTGCGAAATAGACTCCTAACAGCACGTATCAAGGATCTCGGAGGTGTTTCGTGAGGCACATGGCATTCCATCTATATAAAGGCACCAACCCCAACAGTACAAGGTATGCGCGATTATTTGCTTACTAACTTACACTCTCAAGCTTTCAACTCGCACATACTAGTGTATTGACTTAAGCATCGGAACGACCATACCATATAAGCCACCCCGGGTCCTTTGATCCATGTTTCTTTGCAGTTTGACTGGCCAACTTGGTAACCGATCGACGTCTGAACTGCCCTCCAACTAGGAGCATCCAGATCGCACGCTATTAGGTATGGTTTCCGAAAGTTTTGCCTTTGACCAATGACATGGATAAATCAAAACCCATGTGAATTTTGGTGAAGCTTGTTTGGTGAATCACATGTGAAACGCAAGTAAGATTTGTGAGGTAATGTTTCGCACAGCTTGTGTTCTAACTGTTGTCGTTATCGCAAAAACAGCAACCCGATATTGATAAATCTATGATGCCGAATGGTTATGGTACCTGAAAGCTTTGCCTTTGAGTATTTGACCAATGGAAACCCACGCGAGTTTTGGTGAATCATAGGTCAAAGTGGCATTTCAATTTTTTTTTTTATTTGAAAATTTTATTTATTAATAATCATTGTATTTAAAAAAATCATTGCGTTTTGATTTTACAAGTATGATGCGAGTTATTTGATAATGTGACTAAATTTCCAAATATTATTGAACCGATTAAATGCATAGCAAATGTGATGAAAGGACGATGCCAACTGTCTCATTTGGTTAGGTCTGAAGTTGGTTGCAGTGGAGCCTGGAGAATTGGGATCAAATAGTGCTGTCACCGAGGTTGTGGGGTGGGGGGAGGGGAGTATGGGTGTGGGGACCAACTTACCTAGTCGCTTTTTCATTCAAGTAGTGGGGTCATTCAATTCAATAGGAATCATAGGATGGTGTCATAGATTTAATAAAAAATAAAAAAATGTGAAATATTATAAATAATTTATTAAAAAATGAATATGTTTCGTATTATGCATTTATCATATTAAATAAAAATTATTGTTATTAATGACAAAAATGGCTAAGACTTCAAAAAAAAAAAAGATAGAAATGGCTAAAAATATAAAAGAAAGAAATGTTGAGCTAAACAATTTCTTCAATTAAAGGCTTTTCAATGAAAATGCCCAATTCTTATTTGACATATCCCATCATTGTTATCATTTTTCAAATTTGAAATTTAAATGCAATTATCTTAACCAATGCTCACCATAATTGATTCTATAATTAACCTGATTTAACACACCACTTATAATTAGCTCAATTAGTTTCAATTAAATCCATTTGAAACCATTCCTATATAACACTAGTATGTTGTTATAAGGATTTGAATCCAAGCTGCTTATTTCAAATGTAATTATTCTAATTACTAGCCCACTCTATAATATTTTGCTAAATCAGCATTAATAAGAACCATATCATATCCATGTGTTTTTTTGGAAGGTATATCCATGTATATTAAAGTATAGAAAATTCATTTGCAAATACCCAGATGTTGAGCCATAACCAAATTAGCTGTGAATTCTTTTTGCCTCTACAGTGTCAATTATCAATTTAAAATATTTTTTAGATGACTAATTTTATGTTTTATAAGAAAATGTAGTTTTTCTTCTATGACATATATATTATGCTTTGAACCTTACACCTGATTCTACATCACATAAGCAAAATGTGATGTCCCTCTTAAGTAGAAATGGTGTGATAAGCAGTGGGAAAGATGTTTATAGTGGGTTGAATCCTCTTTCAACTCTTTTTTACTATGTATATTATTTCTTACAATATATATTATTAGGGGTGGGTACCCATATTAAATATAATTGGGTTTGGGTATCGTCTACCCCGAAAGTCAAAACCCAAATTTATCTCAAATCCATTAGAGTTTTGATAAACAGGTCCTAKTAGAGTTAAAATGGACTAGATATCCTAAAATTCTCACAAAATTGTCATCCCTATCCCTAGTTAACATTATTTAATTGAGTTGATCATTTAGTATCCCATTGCATTGGGCAAACATTTGAAATGAAAGGTTCTCTGTGTCATGTTTCGTTTTTCCAGGCAAACACTATAAACTTTATGCTATGAGAATGAATTATGAGACCACGAGTTCAGATCAACTAGGCACAAGAGATGAGCGCACTAATTAGGCACTCAGGAAATTTTGTGCCTACAAAA